TTTGATTTTTTTTTCTTCTGGAACAGACTGGGCTCTGTGCTTCTTTCTGTAGAAAGTATCTGGAGCCATTCTCCCCCCTCCTACATTCTTAGCTGGAAAAACTAGTTCATGAGCTGTCCCTTTCATAGTGTGTGCCTGTGGTGTGGTGAGTCTGCCTTAGATTAATTCAATTAAACACCTCAAGCTGATTCTGTCAAACATATTTTTTAATGGGGAGATTTATTTTGCTAATAGGATCAACATATGTTATATACAAAGGTAACCATTAAATAATTATAAACAAATATTTCATCACATACTCCCAGCCAATTTTGCATGTCCTGCCAGATACAAAACATGTACTTTAATAATTTACAGGGAGTAATTTGCATAAAACCATTGAAAGTGGGAATATTTTCAAAGCAGCTGCTTATGTGATGTGATTAGCAAAATCTCCCCACCCCCCATTCCCACCCACACAACATATTAGTCATTCCTTTGAATTAATACATTGAAGGCTCCTGTTAAAATTAAAATATTATCTACTAATAGAGGGACAAATGAAGCTATTAACATTTAGCTCAAATTAGTTGATTGAATTCCTTAATCATTTAGCAAAATCCTTTGTGAAAAGTACCAGAAGAATTTAATTTTGGGGGATAAAAAATAGTCTAGAACTGGGCTGCTGCTGTCTGGGGAGGGATGATAGTGTTAGGGAGCTATGTAAATCAGGGATTAATTCAAAAGTACTGGAAATTTAGGTAGAGAGGAGATTGTTAGAAAGTGAAGGATGTGATAGTAAAGGATGAGAAAGGCAATGGAAAGTGAATCTCCTTTCCTGTTAGTCTTCCAAGAGATAGATAATATTGTCCCAGTATGTCCTTGATTAAATAATCACTTCTTTACACTTTAGAAAATTCTTAGTGGAAAAAAAATTCTTAGTGAGGTGCCAGTGGATTATACCTGTGATCCTAGCTACTTGGAAGGCTGAGATCTGAGAATGGAGGTTCAAAGCCAACCGAGGCAGAAAAGTATATGAGAGTCTTATTTTCAATTAACTGTCTAAAAGGCTGGAAAAGTAGTTACAGCTCCAGTAGTAGAGTACCAGCCTTGAGAGAAAAAGTCAAGCAAGAGTGTGAGGCCCTGAGTTCAAGCCCCAGTATCAGCATAAAAAGAAAATCCTTTAGCTCTCTCTGAGATTATACCAGATGAAACTGAAGAATTCTCTGGGATCATGTTGACTTTCTGACTCACTTTTGGGTTCAACATCATGTTTTGTTTTTATTATTTTTTGATATCTATCTTAAAATTTTCTCTTTTTTTTTGTTTTTTCTTTTTTTTGTCGGTCGTGGGGCCTGAACTCTGGACCTGGGCGCTGTCCTTCAGCTCTTCAGCTGTAGACTAGCCCTCTACCACTTGAGCCTCAGCCCCACCCCTAGCTTTTTCCGCTTATGTGGTGCTGAGGAATCGAACCCAGAGTCTCATGCAAGCATTCTACTACTGAGCCACATTCCCAGCCCCCCTTAAAATTTCTTTTAAGCTACAAATGACATGCTCATTGCAGAGTATCCACTTATGAAATAAATAGAATCAAACCTAAAAGATCTCAAACATCAAGCTCAGTACCAGGCCTGCATGTTAATGACATGCTCTCAGGAACTTTTCTATGCATTACTGGCATCTATGTTAGATACTATTGTATTATATTACATATTTATATATTAATTGGTGCATATAATTTTCTTCTTAATACAACCATCTGTATTCTGTCTGCCTCTTCCTTTTTCTTTTTCTTCATTTTATTGTGATAAATGTCTAACATACTATTTACTATTTTAATCAGTTTTCCGTGTACAATTCAATGGCACTATGCACATTCACAGTGCTGCATAACATTACTTTCAGAAATTTTTTATCATCCCAGATCGAAAGTCTGTATGTTTTAAACAACTCTTCATTTCCCCTCTCCTTAGCCCCTAGTAACCATATTATGTGGTAAGCCATTTGCTCCTTGCTCTTTTAAATTTTGGAAAATGTTCATATGTAAACATAATATAAAAGTTCAAACAGGGTTGGGAAGGTGGCTCAGTGGTAGAATGCTTGCGTTGCATGCATGAGGCCCTGGGTTCGATTCCTCAGCACCATATAAACAGAAAAAGCTGGAAGTGGTGCTGTGGCTCAAGTGGTAGAACGCTAGCCTTGAGCTGAAGAGCTCAGGGACAGTGCCCTGGCCCAGGGTTCAGGCCCCACACTAACAAAAAAAAAGTTTGAACAATGCAAAACAACAAACACAGTATTTCTCTGCTATCTGAAATGGCCCCCAAAAGCTCATGTAATGGAGTTGGGCCCTTTGGAAAGTGATTGGATCATGATATCTCCAACCTCATCAGAGGGTTATTGGGAGGTAGAACCTAGCTGAAGAAAGTAGATGTGATTTTGAATGGTATATTGGGACAACTATTTGTCCACTCTGTTATATTGGGGTCAGCAGACTTCTGACTCAGTAACTTCAAAAAAAGAACAAAAGTTTTTATTGTGGCAAAAGCCATATGACATAAAATTTACCCTCCCAAGAAATTCCAAGAGTTATGGAATAATAATGTCAACTATGTACACATTGTGCAACAAATCTTCAGAATCCCCATCTATCTTGAATGACTGAAACTCTACACTTATCAAACACTTATTCCCTCCCTTCTCCCCAGCCCCAACTATCATTGTAGTCTCTTTGTCTATGAATTTGATTATTTTACATTCCTCATATGTGTACAATAATGCAGTATTTTTCATTTTGTGACTGATTTCTTATACTTAAGTTCATCAGTGTAGTAACATGACAAGATTTCTTCTTTTTTAAAAGCTGAATATAGTATTCAATCACATGTGGATAAATTGTTATAATCTAGTATTTAGTGGAAGGACACTTAGATGGTTTTCATTTCTTTTTTTTTGGGGGGGGGGTCCAGTTGTAGGGCCTGAACTCTGGGCCTGGGCGCTGTCCCTCAGTTCTTCAGCTCAAGGCTAGCACTCTACCACTTGAGCCACAGCGCCACTTCCGGCTTTTTTCTTTTTGATTATGTGGTGCTGAGGAATTGAACCCAGGGCCTCAGGCATGCAAGGCAAGCGCTCTATCACTGAGCTACCTTCCCAGCCCCTTCATTTATTGTCTATTGTGAAAAGTGCTCCATAAACATGGGAATGTGGATGTCTTGTTTATGTACTGATTTCATTTCCTTTGGATACATACCTATAAATGGGCTTGCTGGATTTAATGGTAGTTCTATTTTTAAAAAATTGAGGAACCTCCTGTTGTCCATAGTGGTGACGCCATTTTACAGTTGCTTAGTGGCTGCATAATTTTACAATAGGGAGCATGGTCTCCAATTTCTCCACACCTGTCAATACTTAATATTTTTTATTGTGGCTATCCTATCATGTTTTGAGCTGCATTTTCCTAATGATTATTGATGTTGAACATCTTATCTATTTGTTGGTTATTTTTAAATCTTCTTTGGAGAAATAGCTTTCCAAGTCCTTTGCTCACTTTTAGATACAACTGTTTTGTTATTGAGTTGTAGACATTCTTTACATATTCTAAATGTTAATTCTTTATCAGATATATGGTTTGCAAATATTTTCTACCATTCTGTATGTTGCCTTTCTATACTATTGCTTATCTTTTCCTGTGCAGATTTTTAAAGTTTTGTGCAGTCCCATTTTTCCACTTTCGCTTTTGCTGACTGTGCTTTTGATGTGATGCATTAACTTTCACTTAAGGTTGGACTTTCATCAGGATAGCTTGGTTGTGATTTTTGCCTTCATTTTCCACCTCAGTACGCTCCAGCACATTGTTTAAAAGGGGTGTTGGCTGATTGCTATTGGCTCCCTGACAGTATACACCCAGAGCTACCTTTATTTTTCTGGATTTGTTCCCATGCACAGTAACTAAAAAGCCTATGAGAGGGATTGCGTTCTGGTTTCTTTCTTCTCCCCTTTTGCTTAGTGTTAGAGACAAAGTCTCTTCTGGGGCTTCCTTTTCCTTCTCTCATCCACCTTGTGAGTCAGGCAGTGGTGTCTGAGCCAATGACAGGCCAGCAGGAAGGCTGATTTCAAACCAATGGGAGGTTCTTGAGTTCCAAATGGACCAATCAGCTTATTAGGGACATTGAATACCTGGATAGCTAGCTAGCCTCTGCCCATTGTCCTCTTAGTAATGACCCTCTTGTTTTGCCAGTCAAGGACCTGAGGTCGAAAAACAAAATAACAACAACAACAAAAAACAACCCCACCAAAACCCTTTGATAGCTTTAATCCATCCACACAACTTCTGTCCAAGGCCCAGTAGAGCTTAACCATTCTCCCTTTGTCAAAAGAAAGAGGGGTTGGGTTTCCTACAATTGTCTGCCTTTTTCTGTCTCCTCTACTATTTTTGTTGTACTCTGTAGTTAACTTTACATAGAGTGGCTACGTCAAGAGGACCTGTGCAGAGGAACCAGGCACACTCTTCTCGTTGGCAGCTGCAACGACCTTTTCCTTTTTCTAATCTAGGGGCTTGGAGGGCCACGGGGGTAACAGTGGCTGTGGGAGAAGAGTTTGGCTCTAGTCTGTCTTCCTTCTGTATTTCACACACATCCTGTGTGCTCTCTCTCACATACACTCTCTCACACACATACACGCGCGCGCGCGCGCACACACACACACACACACACACACACACACACACGCCCGCTTGCTCGCGGTGTGTCTCGCTCAAGATGACAGGGCGCTGGAGAAAAGGCTGCTGGAATCAGCTGGTAGGTACAGTAGTAACCCGAACCCCACCCACCCATTGCCTCTGCTTGCTCAGGTTTCACCGGTCACTCCTGCCAGGGGAGAAATCGTGTAAACGCGCCTCCAGAGGAGGGGCTGGGGGAGCTGGGAGGGGCGGGGGCGGCGGAAGGTGAGCCCGGGAAGGTGGCCCAGCGCCCCTTCTGCCGGGGCCCCTCCCAGTGCTCCCTCAGGGTGTCAGCCTCAGCCCCTGTTTGCCCCTACTCCACACCTCCCCCCCTCCCCCGCTTTGGAAGGGATTGCCTTTTTTTTCTCTGCGGCGGCGGAAATGACAGTGTGGTGCTGCCGTGGTGTCATGGTGCTGCCTCTGGACGGAGGGGCGAAAACTCTTTAAGTTTAGCCTGAGAGACCCAGAGGTGGTAGCGTCGCAGTCACCGTGCTGTCCCCTGCGGGGCGCGCGGATCCTGGTTGCTGAGCGGCGGCGGCGGCGGCAGTGAAGGCGGCAGCGGCAGCGGCGGCGGCGAAGGCAGGCGGCGGCCTAGAGTGTTGGTGGCGGCGGCGGCAGTGACGGCGGCCCGAGAGCTGGCTCTGGAGCCCCAGCCAGCTTGCTGCGGAGGCCGGCGAGCGCCCTGCGCTCCCAGGCGCGCGTAGGAGATGGCTGGCACCCGGGAATGCTATGGGTAAAATGCGCCCCCTCGCCGCGGCCCTGGGGCTCGAGCGTTGCCGCCCGCAAGGCTCGGCCCCGGCTCCAGCTGCTCTTCAGGTGCCGCTGGGGCCGGCTTTGGCTGAGGGCACCCGGGCTCGGCGGGAAGGGGTGACGGGAAATGCCAGGCTCAAGGGGGAGGCAGTAGGAATCCCAATCGGGCCCTGGCTCCCGGTCACGCCGTTGGGGCCCGAGCTCCTGCCGCTGCCCTCCTGGGACGGAGTTTGCACTAGCGGGTGCTGGGCTGGGGCGGCCCGAGGCCTCTAGTACAGCCGGGCCAAGCCGGGCGCGGGCAGTAGAACAGCTCTCCTGTCGCTGGGGCACAAGTCTGGGAAAGGGCACTGCCACCTTCCCACGCTCCCGCGAGCAGCAGCGTCCTCCGCCCGGGCGGCGCCCCTCAATCGGCCGTCTGCCCGATGGTGGCAGAGCTGGCGCAGTAGGCAGCAGCGGGCGATGCGGCGGACACCCTGCCGGTGGGGAGGCCCGGCGAAACTTAATGCCTTTTTCGCTGGGGGAGCAATCTTTAAGTCTCTGTCTGGGTGGTTCCTTATTTCTGGCCTAGCTGCGAAAGCAGCTCTGTGGGGGAGAGGGAAAACTTACAGATGTCCACAGAACACACTGCGACGGAATCAGTGAAAGGTGGGTTTTTTTTTTTTCATTTTTTACTCGTAACAATTAAGTAAATAACGGCGGAGCAGATTTTTAGTAATACGGGTGATGATCGGCTTTAGGTTACTTTGCAATTCGTGTGCAACACATTTTTTGGAGGCATTTATTTCTTCTTAGAGCAGGAAATTGGGATCCTGGGGTGCTTGGGCTCATCACTTTCTCTGTCTCTGTCTCTCTCTCTCACTCTCTCTCTCTCTATCTCTCTGTCTCTCCCTCTCCTTCTCTCTGTCTCGCAATTCCACACTCCTCTACCTGCCTTCACCACCATTCCCCTTATTCCTGCCTGCCTCGTAACATGTACTTGCCCACCCAAATCTCCCGTCAAATCTGTCAAATCCCCTCAGTCCCAACCGATCCCCCATCAACCTGTGTACTTGGAGCTACGCAGCTTCTGGCTTCTCAGCCACGTTGCCTTTTTGAAGATTTTTGAGTGTGGAGCTAGTGAATGGTGAATGTTGTGTGTCTCTGGGAAGGAGTACTTAAGAAGGAACATGTTGGAAACTGTAGACAAATACGGAGACGGGAGATGTTAACTCATCTGATTCTCAAGTTGGGCCAGAAAGGCTGCCTTTAACCCCATTGTGTTCCCTCCCAGTTCTTGAGTCAGTTCCCCGGCAATGTTCCAATATAAGGGGGTTGCCAAATAGGGAGTTCTCCCTTACTTTTCTTCTGTTTGGGGAGCTTTAGCTCTACCCTAGATGATTATCCCTAACTCATCCTTCTTTCTACGTTCTCTTCATTCACAGCCCCAAGGGAAAAGGAACCTTTTTATGTATTCTTGCCCAATCAATTAACTTAATGCAGATATGTAATGGAAATTAGATTTCTCCTGATTGTTCCTCACAATTTGATTAATGTGGTTGATATACAGGTTTAGGATCCAAGAAGATCAGAGAGTTCATCCCAAATCTGATGCTACATTGGCTTTACGACCTTAGGACATCCCAATGACCTTCCTTTCATAGTTGGTGAACTTGTACAAAAGGCTTAATATTGTGTACTGAGTATTGTGACTATTGGCTTGGTCCTTTGAAGATGAAAGGATTCTATAAACCCTTAGCATTTTTTTTTCAAAGAAAGCAGTTCATTTACCTTTTATTGGGTGATGGATTGACTGGGTGTAAGTAGGTTTATGAAAACCTTAATTTGCCATTATTGGTCCCTCTGGGATCCAGATCGATCATTGTATTTAGTTCTTAAGTCTGTTTTGTCCCCAAGTAAGTGCCACTGAATGAAAACATATATACAAGTAGACAGAGAACAATGGTGATGATTTTAAGTTTTGAATTATGTCTATTGTACCTAACGATCTGAGTCAGGCTCATTTGAATACATAACCTCACCCATTTTTTAGCTTGTGTGGGGGCAGTTACTTGATTTCTAATGAAAAGTGGAATAGATAATTTTAGGCCTAGCTATATCAGCATGATGAACATCTTATCTAGTAGCAGTGAGTCTGTAAGCACCTATAATGTACAGAGTCTTTTGCTGGCTGGGCTGAGGCCCTAGACTTGACCCAGTTTTTTGGCTTTAGGCTTGTTCAAGGACAGACTCCCAACCTGCAACTTCAGGACTAGGACAGGAGTTTCTGTATGGGGCAGAAATAGAGGCTAAAGACTTGAAAGGCTGGTTTGGTCCCTCCAATTTACTTTCATGACTACTAGAATTCTCATCTAGCATGTTGTACCTTGCAAGGCCACCCCAGGGAAGTACTGCTATAAACCAGAGAGACTTGGTTGCTTCACAAACATATCATATGAACAGTGCAAATTGATTTAGATAAATTGGTTTACTTAATCTCTCCTTCTCAGAACAGAGCAACGTGCTCTAACTTGCAGATGTTAAAGTAGTGCCAGTGGCGTCTCATAATTGCTTCCAAATATTGCACTGGGTAACAAGCCTGTTGATTCCTTCATTCCTCCTCCCATAAAACCTGCTGACACCACAACTGAGAAAGAAACTATAGGAGTATGTCTATCAGCAAACCTCATTAGCTTGGTGAAGATGAGAGAGTGCTGTTTTCTTTATTTTCCTCTTGGAATTTTTTCTTTCTCAATAAGAACATAGAACCCCAAAAAGGTGAAGGCAGGGCTTCCACTCACCATATATCTCAAATGACTCTTCCTGGAGGTACCTGTTTGGCTTTGTGTGTCTGTCATAGATTTTGGTAAATTCCTAGGTATTAGGCACTGGAATTCAGCTACTGTAGGTGGCCCAAGGTTGCTCTATTTCCTTTCAGCTATGTTTGTTTTTTTTTTTTATGTAAAAAAGAAAATGTGAGTTTGTGTTTGTGAGGCTCCTTTTTATTGAAGTTGGATGTCTTGACTTGGAGCATCATCAAAACTTGAGATGTGACATGTTTGTACTTGATGTACCATAGTTCAGGAGGGTTTAAAATTATTCACATTTTAGTAAATGAAACTTTGGTACCAAGACAGTATTGTGCTAATGTTTGTGTTTTAGATCTGTCAAAACAACAATAGCAATATTTAAAAAAACACCAATGTGTTAATCACTGAGCAGTGTATAGAAAAGACTAGCAAAATGTTTTTCAATTAATGTGTTAGATCACACTGTCAAGTAAGCAGATCAGATGAATAATGCTGATACACAAAATTCCAACTTCAGTTACCCCTTCCCCACCCTGATGCAGCCTGCTAGTCAACTTTTCTTCCCTCTCCCATCCAAGAATTTTGATTTGTCAAAATTCTCCTAAGAGTTTTCTGTGGGCTATACAAGTCTCTTATCTGTACTTTGCTCATCTTCTCCTTCTTACTAACCATAGGCATATAACATTTTTGATACTCTCCCAGATCCTTCAATTTTCCTTAGAATCCTACAAGCTGGTAAAACTCTTACATAGTAGAATATATTTGACAGTATACTCAGTAGTGGGATTTTGAGTAATATGCCAACATCCCATTGTTCCTTTCTGCATGTGAGATTCACCTGAATATACACTAGAATGTTGGCTCTGACTGCCTGACCTCAGGCTTTGTCTCAGCCTCTCTTCTGCAAGTCAGATTCCTCTGGTTCATGAATAGTGTCCCTAGGCTCTCAATCATATTCTTACCAAGACCAGATGATCTGATAACAAATCCATTATATAATGTAAAATCCTTCTAAAATGTAAAATCCCAGTATTTGGAATTTACTCTGATAGAAGCATAGTGTATAGGCATGACAGATAATGCTAATTTGGGACCCCAAAGAGTGTGGAATATATACATTTCAGAGATATAAAAATAGTTTAAGGTTGAGAATCCTCGATCACTTTGTCTATAGTCCTTTGTTCAATGTTGCTAGGATCCATGTAGTTCCCTTGAGAGTAGAGGCTTGATTTCAAATAGGCCTCTGTTCTCTGTCCATTGTTTTCTGACTTGAACTTGGGGTCTTCTCAGCCTAATATTTAGAAGCATGCTCTATATACACATACATTGGCAGTTTTAATCTGTAGAAGTAGAGATGACTGTCCAGCCAGCTAGACCACTGAACACTTAAAAATTCATAGATAATTTCATTGGGAAACAGAAGTTGGGAAAAGTAGTTCAAGCTAGAATAGATGAAAAACTGAATTGGAGCTTGGTGTCAGTGGCTCATGCCTGGAAACCTAGCTATTCAGGAGGCCAAGATCCTCAGATCATGGTTCAAAGCCAGCCCCGGCAGGAAAGTCTGTGAGACTCTTATATCCAAATTAACCAGTAAAAAGCTGAAAGAGGAGCTATGGCTTAAATGGTAGAGTGCTACCTTTGAACAAAATAGCTCAGGGACAGCACTCAGGCCCCAAGTTTAAGTTCCAGGATCAACATAAAACAAAACAAAATGCTGAATTGGTAACAGTTTTTGTTTTCCATTTGTTGCCCAACCTTACAACCTTTCCAGCATAATGTGAATTAAGATGAAGTTGTTATAAATGGTACTTAGGATTCTTGTCAATGATTTTACCTTGGCAAGTCTGTTTCTTGGTTACTTAATTTTTAGCATTGTAGTAGGTTCTTTTATTTTGATACTAACTTTAATCTTTATGATTACTACATTGTATAACAATACCCCAGAGGGTTGGATTTAGGTGATAAATATTGAAAGGAAAATATCTTCATGTAATATAAAATATTAAGTAGGCTTTAGTAACTGATTAGGCAGGAAGTGGTTCTGGTTTTCTCTGCCAGTCAGCAATCAACCTTCAGTGATTACTGAGCCCTCCCAGTATGTGATGAAAGCTTAAGAGTTAAGGGATAGTTCTTTCAGTAGGAAGAACTAAAGAAGATATATGAGCATAGAAAATGACACAGTCAAGCTGATCATAGT